TACATTATTAATTAATTAATTAGTTGCATTGTTAATAATGTAATAATTAATTTTACAGGAATATTATACCACAACTCTGAACACCGTACGCAGTGGGGCATCGATCGTGGCAGTTATGTTTCATTCTACAGCATAACAGCGTCTGAAAGAAAAGTGAAAATGATTTTTCCCGAATAGATGCAGAAGAATCTGTTGTCTATTACTAAAGAAAGGATTCACAGCAACTAATTGGTAAGTGACAACATTTATTAATTAAGAAAAATAGGCTTGCATTAATGATATCAGCTTTTGGTCCTTAGGTAAAGTTTAGATGAATAGAAAGGAAGTATTTATTTTCGAAATTATTATTTAAAGAATTTTTTTAAAAACAAGTTGCACACTTTTAACCAATCGTCATTGTAAGGGAATACGCAAATTGTTCTATTTCTATAACATTTGTTTACAGGTGTTATTTCTTCACCTAAAATTTCATTTTTGACTAAGGCATCCTGAAAAAATCTGATATTATTAAACCGTTAGTAAAAGCATATTTTTAGTTACTAAAAGATTGTAATTCTTATCATAAAACAAATTTAAAATCTATACTTTGATTATGGATACGTAACATTTTATTTTACATTTATTTGGATTCTCTCTTTTTATTAACATTTAATCATTCTATAGATACCATAATATATAATAAATCATTTTCTTGTACTGTAAAACTTAACTCTTACAATAAACTAAACAATATAGCTTAATTCAGATCTTTTCATTCTTCTTTTGGTTAGTAGGAGCAGTCTGTGATAGACATCGAAGTTTACAACAAGTTAAGACGTCGTGATCACTGGAGAACATCAGGACCACCAGGACATCAAGGAACGAGACCACCAAAATCCATTCTACTAATCTCGGTCCAGTCAAGGCAAGAGGCACATCAAGGTAATGTAACCTTTCTTGGAATTCTACATTGTAACATTTGTTTTATTTCTTTTAATTTGTATTAACTAAAAACATTTCACTTATTTATTAATTATTTCTGTCTATATTTGTAACTACCCTTATTTCCTTTTATCACCTTTAGGTTTACTTTAAAAACATTAATATGTAGTAAATCTTTCTCTTTTACACGAAGTCTTAATTCTTCGACTAAACGGTAATCTAATTTAAAACTTTCCTTTTTTAGTTAGTTGGACCACTTGCTAATGGATATCGAAGCCATCAACCAGTTAGGACTTTAATGGAGAACTACCAGTTTATCAAGGGATAGATCAATTCCAATAATTTCGAGCCAGTCGAGGAAAGAGGCACATCAAGGACTTTCTTAGTAGAATCATCATGATTAATGAAAAGCATCAGAACCACTAGGATATCAAGGGACAGACTAAAGAAATTCATTCCAATAATGGCGGCTCAGTCAAAACAGAAGGCACATCAAGGAAATGTAACTAACATTTATTTGCTTTTATATTTTTCAGAAATGGTCTTTCTTTTCAATCAAATCAAAAGTTGTTTTTCTTTTTCTATACTTTGAAAGCTTTTTCTTGTTCTTTATTTACCTTATACAGTTTTAACTTTAACATTTTCTTAGAATTCCTACTTTTTAAAATTATTGTTTTCTTTTAATCTACATTAAATCAAAATTTTTCTCACTTTTTCCCTATATTAACTTAATTTAGATCACTTTCTAATAGTTTTTCTATGAAATTTTCTTTTGTTTAATGTATTGTATCTGCATTGAAATCTTTATTTTCTTTTTATTTAAATTTACTTTAGTTAAATATTATAATATACAACATATGATAAATACTTTTCTTTTACATTAAGTCTTATTTCTTATACTAAACAGTATCTAATTTAATTCAGATCTTTCCTTTCCTTTTTTAGTAAGTAGGTCAGTAATGGACGTCGAAGTCAAGAAGTAGAATCATCACGATCAGTGAAAAGTATCAGAACCACTAGGATATCAAGGACCAGACTAAAGAAATCCTTTCCAATAATGGCGGCTCAGTCAAAATAGGAGACACATGAAGGAAATGTAATTAACATTTATTTACTTTTTATTTTTTTCAGAAATGGTCTTTCTTTTCCTTTATATTCAGCAGTTGTCTTTTAAATTTTTATATACTTTCAGCTTATTTGTTTATTTTTCACTTACCTTATTTATTTTTTCACTTACCTTTTCTTAGAATAAAATCTACATTGAATCAAAAATTTTCTCAGTTTTCCTTTGCATTAACTTGACTCTGATCACTTTTTACTAGTTTTTCTATGAAATTTACTTTCGTTTAATAT